TTTTTAATTGGCTCAAAGAGAGAAGTGGCCCATCTTGTCTTGTACTATCTTTGGTTGAACTACGGGGTAATCGATGGCCTAATAATACTAATACAGACACTCCGTGAATTAACCAAGAGGTCGAGCCGTACACGACAATAACAATTAACATTAAGAATTTACTTTTATTTACGTCAACACTCTACTACATTGTACTAGGCCGGGCACCGGTTAGGTGCTTCATCGTCGAATGCAGAAGACCTGAATTCGTTTCTTGGTCTTTTCACTATCTGCCGAGATGATGACGTGTCCCTTAAAATTTCCAACAGCCTTTAATTTTAATCCCGGACAGTCCCAGCAATTCAGTACAGTTGGCAAGCCTGCATTATTATACCATCTTAGCGCGTCAGGAGCGGTATAATTTTTGGTTTTGAATACCATCCGTTAAGAGAAGCATATCCACCCATCAACAACCCCAGTTTAGAGTTTAACCCTATCCGTACGTCATGTTTTACTATCGTATCCATACGACGTGGGGAACACTGTGCCACCACTTTCCACAGAGGAAATTTATTCGTTAATCCGATTCGTAGGCTTTGCATAAGTCTGTCAAAATTATTTTTTGTGAAATACTGAAAGTTTCAAAGAGATCTTCGAACTGTAAGTATTCTAAAAATGTAAAGAATACAACCCCCGGTGGGTACAAAATGACCCCACGGCGTACGGATAGGGGAAAGCAAGATATACCAATACAAACAACTGAAAGAAAAGATTTCAGACCTACCACTAACCACGGACCTTTCATGAACCATTGATTCTCTCCAGCCACCAGCGTGAACAGGCTAATTTACTTTATTTAGTAAGCGTTTCAAGGTATTTGCAACACAATTAAGTCATACTGTATATGCCGAAGATTATGGGCGTTACAAGAGAGTAACAAACACAAAAAGATAACGACGATAGACGTTTGATAGGAAAGAAGGAGCAAATGACATCAGAGCACCCATCAACCACCCCTTGTGAATTAGCAACAACAAAAAAGATAGAACATGTAGTAGTAGGCCTAATAAAAGTTGAAAGTGAAAGGTAATAGTAATAATGTAGTTTTACAGGAAAGCTTTTTAGTGAAAAGAGAGAAACGGATCAACACAATAATGTTCCTCTAGTGCAGGGGAAGAAAAGACAAAAGGTAAGAAAAAAATTAGGATAAGGATCTGTCAGTGGCACTTTCCAACCAGATCTACCAACTGAGCCACAGCGAAGATCACACCACAATACTGATCTACCATCCATGTAAAGAAAAAGACAACAAAAACAATACTCAGTCCTATGATAAGACTGGCCACTATAACTGATAGCAAATGTCAGCTCTTTACCATTAAAGCAATTTAGATCATTTACTGATTTAGGAGCAGGCAGTTTTAGGCTGCCCTGCACATCGACACAATAACGGTCATTTAGTGCTGAGAAAAAGACAGAAACAGCATAGAGAAAATTAAGAAGTAGGACCTATCTGTGATGCCTGCCAACCATCCACATAAAATTATTTTATAACTTCCCAAAACGGGAATCAAACTTATGTCTTCAGAGTGTAAAAAAGATGAAGAGCACAGACGCTGGGGTCCACTACAAGACAGTTTTAGTATTAGTAGAGGTTTTACTGCGCTCGCAACTGCATAAGGTCATTTAAGAGCGCCAAGAGGTGGATGTCAACCGAGGAGTCCTTACAGTAAGTTACAGGGAATCAGGCTTACTCTGCTCACCCCTCTAGCTTCAACAGCACAAAGTCTGCTTCGACTATCAAGGTACAGAAATAGCGGGTCACAAGAAAGTGACAAACATACAAAAGAAGTAGAGGAAGAATGACTACAGTAAGGATTAGGAAAGAAAAAGCAGTAGTTCCCTGTTGCAGTTCAGGCACAGTTATTGAGCATGAGATTGATGAATCAGCCCATTTACAATTCTATTGTGCATAAAAACATGTTAACACGTAGTGGTCACTTGGTGAAATTACCCGTTTCGGTCACCTGGCGCAAAATTGTGCCAGGCCCGAGAGGTCCATTGTAGTCACTCTCCTGGCTGGGAGACCAGATGGGGTATTTTGTATTGCTGGCCGAGTGACTTTGGGAATGGCCGAAACATAAAGCAGGAAGAGATTTGTAACCTGAAGGCAGTGAAGGACAGGAAAGAAATCAACAGTACAAAAAAATGAGGACTGTTGTCCTTCAACCCACCACACAGACAAAAAAACCTCCAAAACTGGAGCATACATACAACAAAATAAACAAAGGAAAATCTCTTGTGTGTGTTCTAATCTAAGTCTATTTTATTTTTCCCAATATAATCTTGAACATTTCTTCAATAAGTAAAGGCCTCCAGGAATGAGAACTCACTGTTTCATAATAAAAAAAATTCTTAGCAATTCCATGCATATATAATACTTCATCAATGAGCCAGTAAAGTTTACCCAATCCAAAAGAGTTCGGACAAATGTGACCAAATATCAGAAAAAATGAGCTTCATCAGATGCGACTGAATAAGTTCTTGTAAAGAAAAAGGGATTTGGGATAACAGGATTGATTGTAAGTAAAGTAACACACTCGGAGGTATACAAAATAAAGGGAAAAAAAAAGACCACAAACTGTAATCACAGGATGACGAATTTGACGTGCGTGGACCGCTTTGGTTCATCATATGAAGCTAGGCCTCCCCCCCCCCCCTACTCCCCTATGTTAGCATCAGAAGTAGTAGATTAACAGGTACCCACAACCACAAGAAATTGAATATCATAGGACAATCTTTTGAGCTCTCCACGAACAAGGGACAGGACCTCAACTAAAGAGTGATGAAAATTATGAAGAAAGCACAACACCAGCGCTTATCACTGCCCCATACTGGGAACTCAGCTTCAGCCTCACTGATGAGCCTCCATTCAATGCTTAGGGCGACAGGGATTGGATCATGTCTGCACCAAATCTAAAAATATTCAAGGGCCGGTTCTGATATATTAAGACAGTTCCTTGAGTTTTAGAATGGGGGTCTAAATCACTCAAATTCAGGAGTGATAACAAGACAACCCAGCCCATCTCCATAAACTGACATTTCACTGAATGAGGGTCTTGCAGTTTCATCAAAGATAAAAACCTGCCCATTGTCGAGGAGCTATGAATGTCTTAATGTATGTGGGAAGGGGTGGGGGGAGAGAGAATCCAAATTACAATCAGAAAAATCTACAGGTAGAAGATGTTATCCCACTTAAGTTATTAAAAAAATATATTTGATACATGTATAAGTAGCATGCAAAACTTGTCAGAAAAAAAAAAGCAGTATGAAAGTTGGACATTTTCAAAGTCAAAAGATTTGTGGCTTTTAAAATCCCCATAAGAAGAAAAAAAAAGAAAGTACATCACCTGGGACATCCATCAAGTATTTAACGAACGCCAAAGATTTCACAGCAAAATTGTGTAAACATATAAACCATATATTTCAACAAAGCCCGTGACTTTCTGACCATGCCTTTGCAGGGTACAGTGTTCACTTAAAAGAGAGATGGGGACTACACTAACAAACACACATAGAAAACCAAAAGTTTCAGCAAACAAATGAGGTAAGCAGAAAATTACATCAGCATGATGAAAAAGAAAGCGTAATGGATGTAATACTATTAACAGTCACACACTAGTCTACCTTTCTTGAATCTCAATTAAAGATGTACACATCTGTAAAGGAGGGAAAACCATTCAATTATTATGAAATTATTTTTCTTAAGATCCATATATGCCAGTTCAAAAAAAGAAAAATATTAACATAAGAAGAAAGAGGTACACTTTTCTCTAGTAGTAACAACAGCATCTACTGCAATTGTACATTTTAAGTCACAAAATGCAAGACACCAATCAACAAAAACAACAAACATGCAAATCATCCATGGTCCCATACACAATGATTTACCCAAACTCTCTAAAAAAAAAAAAACCAACAACCACATAAACAAAACAAAAAGGGGAAAGCCTAGTGTTTTTCCCTTGCCCAGAAACAAACAGTATTGATTTTATATTTTTCTGAATAGGTATCTAGCTGAGTCTGGAAATTTGTGGCAAAAAAACTCAAAAACAATTATAGGGTGGGTGCCATGGAAGTTTTGGACTGGATGAAACAGTGGAATGATTATACGGAAAGTGTTGTACAAAATTAATCATTGACCACACTGACAAACACTTCTTTCAAACTGCTTTGACTTTCAAAGCCACAGATATCATGTGCAGCATTACATTAAGTTAAGTATTTATCATAAGAGGCAAAAATAATGCAGAAGCATTTCACCTTGAAAGTAAACTAAATAAGCAGACCAACAATGTTTTGTGAGACATCAATTTGTCACAGAAAATAAGCAATCACCAAACACGCCAACATAGCATTTCCCTTAAACCATAACAACACAGTTTTTCCACAGCAGTTGTTTGCTATTAGCTGATCTGTTTAAGTACCTAGTGAATTAAGCAAGCAAGGGTTAAGATCTCCTTTTTCTTAAAAAGAAATACAGTAAGTTATGACAGCCATCTGCCTATCTTTGGCTTTTGTAGATAGAAAAATGAAAGGACACTTAAGGCCTCAGTGGGTTTATTTAATGAATTTGCTCCCCAGAAAACTGGGCTCAGCAATGTCCATGGATTTCGATTAAGTCAGGCATGTATGCCAAGTTAAGAAGGTATAGCGGAGCCACACACTCACCACAGTAAGCATCTGCCAAACAACAGAGCACAGCAACACATTCACACTGACACCTGAACACACAACTATTTATATGACTTAGATGTGGTCACCAAAACAAACGTGAATTATGAACAATGGCTTCAATGTTGATGAAAAAATGAGTCAAAATATCTCTCTGGAAATTGCTGGTAGAACAAAAATTTCGCCAGGCAGCTCCTATTTTTCACAAAAATTCAGGTTCAATCGCACTGAGAAAAGTGTTGCAGCCAAAGATCCAAACAGAAGTACTTCCTTTGAATATGAACCTTGATTATTATTTTATTTTCAAATGTAATCCTTTCTTCAGAAAATAAGCACCTTGAAGTGATACAACCACAAATTTGAATCAACACTTTCGAGAAAGTCTTTGTCCTGGGATTTTCCAGTAATCATCATGTGCTCTGATTTCCTTGTGCGAAAATAAAGATGTTTTCTTTTAGTCCTTGAGCTCCGGTGGAGAGTTAAAAAAATGCTCTTGATGAGACTGTAGTAATCTTGGGCAAGACCATTACACCACCTCATACTCTTTCCTGATAGCTCTGGCCAAGCAGCAAGCAAACATAACACCTACAACCTGTGGAGGTACAAGAAGTAAACATTAGTGTCTATGCAACAAAGCATGAAACCAACTATTTTAACTCCTTTGGTCCCTTACGACACTATAGAACATCATGAAAATGTGTGTTCGTTTAGCTTTGTGCCGTACCATGGACATTTAGAAAATTTAGCAAAATTTGCAGTTCTTGGTTGCTTATACGATGTTACATGATGTACGTCCTGCTTACCACATGGCTCCAATTTTTCTGCCTGGAGAATTAGCCACAGGCATAGTTTTGTATTCGAGAATAAAAAATGGGCATATCAGTACCAAAATTTGGTAGTATTACTTTACCGCTAGGATGGCAAGTATAATCAATAAACACAGGTCAAGTCGCGGGGACGAATGTGTGCCCTCACAAAATGTAAACACTAAAATGACTTTAAAAATGCAAGATATTTCACTTTTTTAACTTAAATTAGCAAGTTGTTCGAAATTATGGGTAAAATGGGGAATATAGGGAATGACGAAAGCGATACTATCTAAGACTTTAAGTCCGAATATATGTCATGAGTGTACCAGATCTAGACAGTAAGTCCATTAACTCAGACATGAGACTGCTGTCCTGGCTCATGAGCATAGCTGAAAATTAGTACTGACAGATCCATTGGCAACGGAGCAGTTAAAGATTTCATATTACAAAATAGAGTTGAACCTGCTCTAACGGTCATCTGTCGGGGATGTCCATACAGGTACAAATGACTATCCTCTGTCCGAGGTAATCACATGTACAAATGATTATTTCCCAATCCCCCTTGCATTAAAATTTTAATGGCACTGTCCAAGGCGCTTGTTTAAGACGACCACTTTTCTCCTTGACAACGGGCCATTATCTTGAACTGTTACAATTGTACATAAAGCTCTGTAAAAAAAATCCTGAACAAACGAACACAATACAAGCAATGTTTTCTATTACAGTATTAATTGCAAAATTTTATTCCGTTTAAAATGACACAAAAGAAATGTATTTTCTGTTAACAGACTTCAAGAAAAGTGTGATTTCAACTCCATATTTTCATTACATTAATTATAAATTAGAATTGTTTTCAGCAAATTAAGGTGATGTCCACTCACGCTAAGAAAGAACTACATACAAAAACAATTTTTCACTTTACGGCAACTTGCATCCGATCCCAAATTTTAAAAAATCCAACATATGAAAGAATCTTACCTGCACGAACGCCAGACCAATGCCAACTCCGCCAATGATAGCCACTTTTCCCTTCAACCAGTCTTCAATCTGGCCAGCGCATGGCTGAAAACAAAGATTTATATCTTTCATAAACTACTGTTAACTCCGCATACATACACATGGATATGTTTCATGTTTAATGCATAAACACATTTTGAGATTTTCTTCATCATAACTTTCTTAACAGATCCAAAAGTTTCAACAACTTTTTATGATCCACTATGAAGCTAAACTAACACCCCAGTTGCATAGAAAAACAGTTTTTCCAAGATTTCCTCCTCCTTAAGTCATCCAGAAATAATGGCACAACTATCTTATCCACGATGTTTATCATTTTTCAAAAGTACAACAAAGAGAATTTTAAAACAAGAAAAAATCAAAGTAGCCGAACCCATAAGATTAAAAAAAATTAAGGACAGAGTATACTCACATCGGTGTAAATTGAGCTCGGATCATCGAAGGAAGGTGTGCAGGGGATTTTAGCACAGCAAGAAACTGGGGGAGCACTCAAGCCTCTTGTGGTGTTCCAGTCGGTGTAGTTGTTGACACCACAGCAGCTAAACTGTATAACAAATAAAAAACACGTCAGAAGTCAGAATAACACTCAGAGAGAATATCAACTAGGCTCTGGTGACCCTAGGTTTACAAGAATATATCTCAAATTCTTTAACTCCTTATCTTCCCCAAGCTGCTCCCAGTGGCTCACGGTTGGAACTGCTGTACCGGCGAGCTGATGTCAGCGGCTCTGGCACGTTTCTTTACGATGACTTTGATGTCAATTTGCTGTTTGGCAATCGCCAAAAGCAGGTAAATGAAAGATTGTCAAAACAGGTTCACTTGTTTTAATTTAATGACCAATTTAGAGAAATACAAGTTACTTTTAGATTTCGTGCCAAAAGCGGGCCCTGGCATAATGGGT